CTATCGTACGTTAAGAGTGCATCATTGAATAACCATTTATATGAAATAGGGTCCCCATCCGGTGAATCGGCCTTGCATGGCAGAGGGAAAATGCTRCCCTCTTGGACATCATATTGGCTATATGGCTTCTTGACAATCGTTATTCCTTCTGAAAATATAAAAAGAATCTTGGTTGGATCAGTTGGTTACGCATTGGACTGTTGCTAGGGAGGACGTGGATCAAGCCTCGACCGATAAACCAGTTCGTATAGTTTAAAAATCGTTTCCAGTGCGCATGCGATTTTATCCCTAATTTCTCACCTTCTTTTGTTTAATCAAGAACAAAAGGTTGCAACAAAACTGTATGAAATTCGGGTTAAAATTGCATGCGCACTGAAAACAAACTGTTAAACTATCTACGGAACTGGCTTATACTCAGGGTCTTAAAATAACTGAGGAGGTGCTGCCTTCGTAACTACCTAATAATTGCTGAGCATTTAAAGTTTTCTGTTAAAAATTAGAATTTAAAGAATTTAGAATTATGACATTAAAGGCTAATTGTGCTACATCTGTGGACATACGATACGTGATTTTCTATTCGAATAATGCAAAAAATGTGTTTCGTTTTGACCTTATAGTTAGTTTTTTTTTTATTTCTCCTGTCAAGTTAGGCATTCATAAAAATACTTTTAAAACCAAAATAAAAGATGGAGGTTCGCCGACTTCGTTTTAGAACTATGAGAGTTTGAAGTTAAAAACTTGTTTTCTTTGTATTTTGCTAATTGAATTATTCGAATGACTTGACTTCATCAACGATGAGCACAAGTGTACTAATTTTATGCGTAGAAATAATGCGCGCGAGCAATGCCCACGAACTTCCTAATAAGATTTTCCTTATTTGCGGATTTAGAAAAAAGTTGAAGGAAAAATAAAAGAAGGAAAGAAAGAGAAAAAAAGAGAAAAGAAAGAAAAGAGAATAGCTATAATAGAAATAATAACTTGAGCAACATTTTAACACATAAGATTAACACACTCGACCTCGCGAGCACATCTTTTTACAACAACTCACGTAAATAACACATTCTGATTGGCTGAGAGCTATGATCAATAAGAGGACAGACACATGGATGACTTAATGTTTTTGAAACCAAGACTCGCCGGTAGGATTTTATCGTAAGGACTGTGATTTTGCGAATTTATTTTGCTAATAAAAGTCGACAATGGAACCAGAAGAGGAACCAAACTTTGAATTTAATCTTACTTTCTGATAGTCTTGCCGACGAATATTTAGTTCTGAAGGCAGAAAAGATTGAGGAAGACGTGAAAAATTCATCTCGCTTAGCAACTTGCGAAGAAAAAGACTTGAATGAGCTTGTGTCAAGTGCTAACGCGAAGGGCACAAAAAGAAACACCAAATGGGTATTGAAACTGTTGCAAGGTAGGTCAGCTCATTTTTTTCAAGCAAATATGCGTTAAAACCTAGCTAATATTGAAAAGGATAAAGAAATCTACAGAAATAATCTTACTTTCACTTTTAGTTACTTACGAGTTGTTGATGCAATTTTCAGAATGGTGCCATGAGCGAAAATTTTGCAAACCCTTGTTGGATCTAACAGAGACCGAGCTATCTAAATGATATCCTGAGGAGGTTTTATGCAGAGGCCAGAAACCAGAAAGGTGAAGAGTATAGCCGCTCCTCGCTGCTTGGGTTCAGGAATGCTGTTGAACGCCATTTTGCAGTCAATGGTAAAGCAATGAAACTCACTAACAACCCAGCATTTTACAGCTCTAACAAGATACTGGAGAGCAAGCTGAAGGTCAACAAAAGAGAACAGAAACAAAATACCAAACACAAACCAGTCATTGAGCCAGCAGATGTGAGTAAAGTCAAGAAAAATCCTTTTTTGAGCCACGAGAATCCTTACGGCCTCCTTCGGCGAGTGTGGTTCATAGTGACCCTGTATTGGTGCCGCCGTGGTTGCCAGAGCCAAAGACAGCTCCGCCGAGAAAGCTTTACTTTTGATCTTGACGGTGAAGGAAAGGAATATGCAACCATGACTCACGAGGAGCAGACCAAAAACCTGAAGTACTATCTTTCAAAACTTAACCCCAAACAACAAGCGTTCTTTCAAAGACCAGTGCCAATCTTTACACCAGAGGACCCAGTGTGGTATGAAAATAAGCCTCTAGGTGTCAACAAGTTGGGTGATATGATGAAGTCAATCTCTATGGGAGCCGGCTTGTCAAAAGTCTACACGAACCACAGCGTCAGAGCAACAGCTATCACCATGTGGTCAAATTCTGGAATCCCGACTCGTCACATAATGAGCATCTCTGGACATACCAATGAACAGAGTATTCTATCTTATAACAGAAGACCATCGGTCCAGCAACTAAAGACCTGCTCGGACGTGATTTCCAGTGCATTGACCGATTTAGAGGGCGAGAGTAGAAGGCTTGATCGAGATCCCAGGGCTGTTTCGTCTGCTTCCACTTCTGTACAGGTTGTACAGTCTGAGATGGCCATTAACTCCATTCCAGAGTCGATCTTCAATGGCTGCTCCATCCAGAACGTGAATGTCTATGCTGTCAAGCGAAAATGACATTGCTTTTCTTAGCTGAACTTATTAGTAAGCTTCGTTTTTAGAACCTTTGAGTTCTGACTCAAACTCTTTTCGACTTAGCTAAAAAAGCCATTCATAAGTAAACGTCAAACGTTTTGACCAATAGCAAGCATTCTTTCACAGTGGCTGTCAAAGAACTGTCAAAATTAGCCAATCACAGTGTAGGAAGTTTGGTTGTGAAATGTTGACGTGTTTTATGAAAAAAACTTTTGTAAGTTATAAAATAACCTTTGAAGTTTTCAAAAGTAAATAACCGAAAAACCTTCGTCTTACTTTCTGTACTCTGTCCTCTAATGATCATGAAAACTAACTATCTTAGTAAAAATATTCAAAAGCTCACAATAATCGGAGCTGTTTGGTCTATCGCCTTGCTTTCCTTGAATGACAAATTTTCGAAAAACGTTTCGCTTATTTTATTTTGTAAACATTTCCCAGTTTGTTGTAAAAAACAGATCGCACATAGAGCTCGTGGTTCCACTTTAGTTTTGAACATTTTAAGACGTCATCTATGATCAATAAGAGGACAGACAATGGAAATCTATGTGCGATTTGTTGAATGGATGATAATCATAAACTACAGACCTTCATACGAGTTATCGAGAAGACAACAAAGAATGGCAGCCAATACAATCACGTATCTGTGATGCATGTCCATTTACGAGTCCCGGGTCTTACTGTTGTCTTTTCCTGTTCTTTTCCCGTTCTGGTGGAACTTTGTGGATATTTTACTGATGTGGTACATTTTGCCGTTGTTTTTTACTTGGCGGAAATGGACAGTTGACTTGCATCAAAATCAGGGCGTTCCACGTCACACATATAACGAACTTTCAGTCAACTGCCATCCCAGCGCGAGCAGTATTGAAAAAGGAGTGGTAGGCGCCAGATACTTCGATAAACGTCAGAATTTATGCCTTTTGCACAGCAAAAAGAGGTATAATAATCAAAAGTCTGATGACTCGAAGTAACCATGAGGACTCTCAATTGATAGGATTTGTCTTTGGGCACAAACTCGAAGAGTGGACTCGTAAAAAACGTGATTGAAAATTTAAAAAAGGTTTGAGAAACTAATCTGGAAAGGAACTACACTTAACTTAACTTAGATGATCTTAGATGTTATTAAACTACATTAAACTATTTCTTTATTTGTTTGGTCGAACTATCACAAAACGCGAGCTTAGCTAGTTTTACAGTTAGGATCGCAGTTAGGATCGCAGTTAGGATCGCAGTTAGGATCGCAGTCAGTATCGCTTGCCAGGATCATCAAAAATTTTATCTGGCAGAAGTATAAATGGTTCAGCACTTACTTTTGATTTTGCCGACTATATTTTGCTTAATTCGAACTGAGGTTTCCAAGTAATTTTACTGTAACACAGGGTAACCATACAGCAAATAACGTGAACACAGGGTGACCAATTCAGTTCACATGCGCAATTTATTTTTACATTTGATGAATAATACTGATTCATCAAATGTAACCTGCGCGGTCTTTGAATCCCGCCATTATTTTAAGGTAAAAAAACATTTACAGTAATGACTTGGTTATTTGCTCTGCGTTTTCACAATAAATCAAAATCTCTTGACTTTAAATTCATTTGCCCCGTAAATTCCTTAGCGGTTTGCTTTCTGGGGAGTTTGTCTATCTCTACATTGCAATTGTTTAATAATCTGATCGCAAATCCCGTAGATAATGTAGTGTAAAGTTTGAGGTCTTTTTGAGTGTAATTTGAAAATTAAATTTAAAATGTTCAAATATTTTATGAAATAAGCTATCCAAATTGCGATTCCGATCGAGATCCAAACTTGGATCCTAACTGCGATCCTGACTGCGATCCTAACTGCGATCCTAACTGCGATCCTAACTGCGATCCTAACTGTTTGTTTAGTTTATCTCCACAAAGAGCAACGCAAGTATTATCTTAGTTAGCTTTGAATCTAAACGACTCTCAGACTGTTTTCTTTTTCATAATAAAAATAGCCAGTTATGAGTATTGAAGCTGTGAATTTGGCAGCTTTTTAAACGTTTGTACGAGTTTACGTATGTTATTGAACATGGCCGCGAGAACTTTGCTTAGCTTAAGTTCACCTTTAAGTTCCATGGCTCTATATGGAACTTAAGGTGAATTTGATTAACCATATTAACTCTGGACGGTTGAATATTACTGACGTGAGGAGCATCGCGCGGTCGCGTTGTTGTTGTTGGTACAAACAGAGTCAAGTACGGAACAGCCGTTAAAGAAGTAACGCTCAAACCGTTTGACCTTTGGCAGAAAACGTCTGCATTATAACAGCGAAGGAACACGGACACAATTTAATTCAAATAATCGAAAGGAAAAAAACCTATAGAAATCCAACCACATTCGGTGTCCTAGTGCCTTTGTTCAAACTATCCACTTTCAAGCGGAAAAACAGAAGTTATTTAGTTTACTTTCACTCCAAACCGTTCACACATTAGTTAAAGACTAATGACGGAATTTTTAGTTCTGTTACTTGAGATGGCGACAAATTCTCTTAAACTGGTGCTTCTTGCTCTCAATTTAACGTAACTAGCATGCAAGATAAAGAATTAAAATACTCATGCTCTGACTATAATAACATGCTGTGAAACAGGTATATACGGAAGCTTCTAGGGGACATGCGAGATGCGAGTTGTTTAAAATGCGAGATGCGAGTTGAAAGTAAGTCTTAATAATCGTAATAATCTCAGTCCTGGACATCGTCCTGCATTCACTAGATACTGGTTACATCTAATAGCTTCTAAGTAAGTCCTCAAAACAAAGTGCAAGGAATTCAGCCCGTAATGAAAYGTAAAAAAAGCTCTGTATATTTGAACATATTAAAATAAAACGAAAGGAAACTAGGGAATACTTACTTTACTTAGACTCGGACATCAGGAAGAAATGACGTCATTCGCAATGGAATCAGCAACTCGATCGCATGTAGCATTTCAATCAACTCGCATGTCGCATTTTAAACAACTCGCATGTCGCATTTTAAACAACTCGCATGTCGCATTTTAATCAACTCGCATCTTGCATTTTAAACAACTCGCATCTCGCATTAAACAACTCGCATCTCGCATGTCCCCTAGAAGCTTCCGTAGTCATACGTTTTAGTCCTGGATTCCTTGAAATGCGTTGTATTATGGGGCTGGTTTGAGGGACGCTTCATCAGTCAGTTGACATTTTGAGCATCACGAAACGAAAGAAATTTAAAGATTTCTACATTAATCAAGTTTTCCTAATAAGACGCCAGAACGCCAAATCAAAGTCTTAAAGTGCCACTGAAACAGCCACGTGATGCATAGCGTTCTGCCCTACAGAAAGGCTCATCAAATGCCACAGCCGAATACTCCTAATTTTTAAAGAAAGACTATGAACGAGACCAACTGGTTGTCGAGCCTGGAATTAGGACTATGCGACCTGCCCGTCTTCCTTGATGACAGATAAGTCCCCATTCTCTACTGAGAGACCAGCAGGAGATTCTGACTTGCCCATCTCCCACGGCATAGAAAGTCAAATGACAGACTAAGAACTGGCTCGACTGGCTCTAGGTCTGGGTGAGTACGATATGGGGATCTAATTTCACAACGGATGAAAGGTTTGCAAAGAATTTGCCCTGCCCCAGACAATGCAAACTCTTCATTTCAACTTTTAGTTAACAATACAAATGAATGGAAATTTCTAATGTGATTTAGATTCCAAATTTTTTAACTTCTCACATATTGTCATATTTAGTTTCTGAATGGTAAGTGTTTTTTATAATTTTATTCTAAATTCTTGTAGCAATGATAGGGATTATTTTAGGAAGTTTCCTCGATTTCCGGTTGTGGTTTTCGACCCGGAAGTCACGGTGAGTTATTTTGTTCCTTGGCCAACCAGCCAATCAAAAGACTTGCCGATGACTAGGCTCATTGTAATGGCGGAAGTTTTAAATGAGCTACCAAAGGTGTGCTGTCCAACATCCGACCAAAGGGATGCTGCATTATAAACAATGTTTTACGTCAGTGTTGGTTTATCCAGTTAGTTGATACTTTGTCTTAACATTTTAAGGAAAAGGCGTTGAATAGAACGGTGTGTTCGCATCAAAATCTCCAATATGGTTCTCAACTCAAAGCCGTCTTCAACTTTTAACCATATTTCTATAGTTCGTTATTATGTTCTTTTGGTATTAATATCCCTGAAGTCTTCAAATGGTAATATTATAAGCATTACAAGGCTGCCCAACCAGGACGATTCCTTCGATGTATTGTCTCATCAAGGACTTCTGTGTCCACCGAATACATGTTCTAGATACAAAGCTGATCAGAAACTTTCTGGGATATCAGACTCATGCCTCTGCCAGTGTCCTTCTCCACTCAGTACATTTTACAGCAAGACATACACTTGTTTGAAAAACAAAGACATTGTCGATCAAAGTAAGTTGAAGCATTGATGTCATTTTATGATTAAAAAAGACTAGTAGGGGAAAAATTATAACACTTTTTATCTTTGAAGCTGAACCCCTATGAGAATATTTACATGTTATTTTCCTCGGTATTGGTGTGATTTTGCTAGCCCATCTTAGTATAGCCTAAATTTTTAATTGTATTTATAGAGTGTAATACTAAGGCTATTCATTTTTAACTATCAAATAAAGAATAAGAAGTTTTCGATGTGATGGGTCGCGAACCGTCGGTAGTATTAAACACATCGTACGACATTAATTGTCAAGTCTCGATCCCTCACTCTCTTCTTGCGATTACAATATTATATATCAGAAGTTTAATCCCAAAAAGGTTAGAAAGTTTCAAGCTAGACGTGCAAGATAAGTAAATGAGCACATACAAGGCACAGCACGACGTTTTGGTGAATCATACTCATTGTGACATGAATGACGTTAATGATTTCACAAAGTAATAACCATATATAGACCAGTGATGATTAGATAAGATCATGACGTAGAAAGGGCGAACTATAACGTTATCTTGAAAAAATAGATAATTACCGCAAATAAGAAAGAATTTTAAAAACATCATAGTCTTTTTTTTATGTAGAACGTTTTGACCAAATACAATATTTTACCAACTTTACATAACAATCATATTGTTCCTATTTATGATTTATCCTCTATTTGTACATGGATTATCGATTGGCTTATCCATTAATTTTAATAATTTGTTTACATTTATTTCATCTATTAACACCAGTTTTAAATTATTTTTAAAATAAAATTGAAGACTAGTATGCTCAACTGTTCATTTCTTGTGAAAGAATTTTTTAGCATTATTAATATATATCAACAACATTAATAAAATTGATGAAATTATTTTTTAATTTTTACAGATAGATGTAGTAATATTAAGTTCAAAGGTACCACTCTTGGAATTCTTCCAGTAATTGACATTTTGAGCACTCCTGGGTCTTTACCTTTGGAAAATAAAATGGATGGCAGTTGTTCTAAGATCAAATCTTCATGGCTTTATCTGAAAAATGGTACTTGGCATATGGGCAAAAATGGCATAATTTCTGTGACTTTGAAACAGCATTGGATACATTCAGATCAATGGCTTCTTAATGTATGTGGAATTCTTTTTTTTTATTTTTTATTTATTTTTTATTTTTTTATTTTTATATTCTATTCTTTAATCATGTACTCATCTTTTGTTAACTGAATTATATCATATAATTAATAATAATAAATAACTCAAATTAATGATCAATGCTGTCAGAATCAACCAATCACTTTAAAGTTATAATTTTAGTCTGTGGAGCCTTCAGAAAACTTGATATGTTTTTAAAATATTCAACATTTATTCTTTCAATTTTCTTTGTTTAGTGGTATTCTGGATTGCACAGTAACTATTCTGGGATCATCATCAAAGTTGTAGTAACATGTGAACATGATAACATCCTTGACCACATTGACAACAGGTGTTTGATGTTCAAGAGTCAAGGAACATTTCAAGGTATATAGTAAACATATATTAAATTTAATTGTTAAATTACCCCACTATGAAGGAAATTAGAAATTCCAGCGTGTGGGGGGCTTTTTGAATAACATCCTTCAAGGTAAAATATGGACATTTTTTGGGACCACACATTGTATTATCTAGCCATAGGTAACTTTAAATATGCATGTTACAATTTTTATCTTTGCCAATGCTTGCAACGTCAAGGCT